TGATAATAAATAATAAATAAAATAAAATAATTCTAAAATAATAAAAATAAAACCTTACCTAAGACATGCATTATACCCTTGGTCAGCAAAAAGGGCAGGTTGATGATTTTAGATTAGCATGGCAAGTGACATGTGAATGACAGACATTCACCAAAAGCTTGCGAGTATATGCGTGTGTGTGTGTGTGTGTGTGTGTGTGTGTGTGCCGCATAATAGGGAACTATGCAATTTTGTAGTTCCTCTTAAGTGCAGTATTATATTAGCAAAAAATAATGAAAAATCTGTTTTATTTGGCCTTGGGATGCTTCTATATTTAAACTTGTTTACAGAGGGGGCTTTTTAGACATTCTTACAACCCACAATACATCAAACTGTAATGAAGTCATATTGAACTTATATCTAACTAATATCCATGCAACATAATAAAAGTATACCTCTAAATATCAGTGCCCTTAAAATGAAAGAAATGTATGTTTCTGAATATTATACTAAATTGAATATGTTTTCTTTCCAGGAACTTAAAGCTCTCTTTTGTATATTATTTAAAATACTACTTTGAGCTTGTAGGCATGAAAAATATAATTTCTTTCCCATTTCACAGTTGGAAAAACTGAATTACAGAGAACAATGCTAGTAATTATCCATGATTAATAGAGGTCTGTATGTAAATCAGCCTGAATAAGTGTGTGAAATTAGATGTGCCGATGCCAGAAAACTCTGCTCATGTTTTTTAAAGATGAGTGCTTTCATATAAATCTGTGTGTGTCTGTGAGCGGGGCCTACATCTCTCTGCATGTGGAGCGTATTTCAAAATGGACTTTGTAAAAATGTATCAATACAAGAGTAACTGAGTATTACATATTATAAGTGTTGTAATATATAAAATAAATTACATTGATGTTTAAAATTCATTAGATAGATGCATTTGTAATGCACATGAATACATACACAGTGTATGTCTGTCTGCAGCAAGTGGTAGGTTGGAGTTTGAGTGAACTTTGATCATTAGAAAGTGTGGAAGAAGATTCATGTCACTTTCTTAGTGTTAGCACATGAAAAGGCCCTCAAGCTTCTAGTCCTACTTAAGAAGCTCAGTATGTATGTTAGTTAGCACTATTATACCATTATTAGATAAGATAAAAGTACTGTTATATTCAAGAGCTGGAAAAAAAAGTATTTCCTCACTGATACCCAAGATAGGTATTTCCATTTCATGGAAAATAAATGAAAATCTAGGGATTGCTCAATGATCTTTTTAACATGCAATATGTGCTGGATTTTCTTTCATTTTTCCTTCTATCCTCCTGGAGACTGATTTTAAGAACCAAATCCTGGGAATGCCAGTTGAGGACAGATATACCTCCTCCTTCTACTGTAGATAGATGTTGGCTGCTCTGATTCCAGGCTTGCCCAGAGAACACCAGTCTTTCTTTGGGAGAAAATATGCTACGCTGACTTCAGATTTCTGCAAGCTTGGTTTGTTTGTGGGTTGGATTTTAATTTTTTTAAGTTTTAATTTTGGGGGGTTTTGCTTTGTTTTCAGAGAGCTTTAGACAGCTGTATTAATCATGCAGACCCAGCCATGTGCAATGTGTTTTTTCAATGGAAAAGCAGGGACTGAATGGCAAGCAGCTGTGAACAAACCCAGTGCAATGCCTGAACCTGGAAGATAATCTCAATATTTCCCAAACCCACTTGCCACACGGGATTAGTGAATGGAAAGGCTGTTCACTTGGGATAAATAATCAGATGGGAGGCAAACAAGTGAGGCACATTCCAGAGGTTTTTTTCTTCCTTTCTTTATTTTATTTTTTTTTTTCAGTGGCAGCCATCAGAGAAAGATGAGCTGATTGAGCCTTGAGCCCTGAGCTCAAGGGAATTCTTCACTTGAGAGTTTTAGAAACAAAACAATGGGGGTTTGTCCTTGTCCTTTCCCTTCTTATACTTCATTTTAACTTTCTAAGGCTAGTTTTATCACCTCATCGTGAACCCACAATCTTCCCAATGTGAGGGCATCTCTAGACGCACTTCCATTATGAGGAAGGGTCATGCAAGAGTAAACGGAGGCTGACGGGGAGAAAGTGCCCAGTGTGCAGAGGCCTCAGGAAATGATCTGAGCTTAACAAGTGAGAAAATTCCCTCAGATAGAACGGACTCTCTTCATTTTACAATTCAGTGGATTTTCCGCAGCAAGATAGTCAGGGGTGTTTATGCAAATATATGCAATTCGGAACTCATTTCAGAATAAATAAACTTAAATTAAAATTAGAGAGGAGAAAATCTATCAAAGGCAGATCAAAGATGGAGCACTATTTTCTCTATATATGTGTATGTGTGTGTGCATGCATGTATACATATATATTTTTAATGAAGGAGCATGCTAGATTTTTGTTTTGTTTTGTTTTTGGCAGTGGGGGAGAGGACAGTTTAAAATTTTTGATTGTCCACAGTCAATACAAATTACCTTTTGGTGTGATTTCAGCATTATTATTATCACTGCAGAAAATCAAGCAATGTGATGAAGGAAACCCAAGGGAAATGCATTTGATTTATTGAGCCTTGTTTTTGTTTAATCACAGCTTGAAAGGGTTTAGGACCTTTGCTGTGACTCTGCTGTGCATCCCAGTCAGCTTGATGAGCCCTGTAGAGCGAGGACAGGGGGGAGACTCTCCAATGAGAGATGAGTAGCTGTAATGAAATATATAGTTTTGTTGGGTTGGAAATTAGAAAAGTTCTCTTTCTTAGGATGGGAGGATGGAAAAGGATTTTTGTGATTTTTCTCCTACTTTTAAAACATTCAAAAAAATTAATTGGTTCAAAAGTTTTTAGGCCATTTTCATCAACTAGCTGCTTAGAGATGTTGAAATTTAGCTGATGACAATACACGACATTTAACTGAATGAAGGTTTCTTGAGCTATAGTTATGACAACAGTGAGGAATACTTTTCACAGATATGTGGGTATTTAATTGGTACCATAAAAGGGTTAATTAGCCTATCCTTAGAGTGTCCTTCCAGGAGAAACTGCATTTCACATGGGTAACCTTCTTGATTAGAAAGAGGGAGAAAAGTGGCTTGATCCATAACAATGTGAGGGCATCTCTAGACGCACTTCCATTATGAAGAGTAGGGAACGTCAAAGGGGACCACCTTTTTCAAGCACCCTCTCACACCAACTATCCCAAGTCTTAATGAACAGCTTTTCAGTTTCCACTAGCAGAAGCCCAAAGTATTAGTAATAAGATAAACTATGTTCTCTAAAAACTATTGGATCTAAGAAAGCTAACTACAATCTACCTACAACGGAAAAATCAAACTAGGGTCATTCTCCAATCAACAATTCAGATTCTGGGAAATACAAAGTTCAACACAATCCCATATGTTCCATTTCTAGTTGAGACTGTTTTTCCTTCTCTGACAGCTGTCCTTTGTGACAGTGTCTGGTCTCACTTTGTTCAGTATTACATGTATCATAATGCATGATCAGATAAATATTTGAGTTTGTGGTTGCAAAAATACTTTCACAAAGAGTACCCCGAGCAATAGTGATACAGTACAAAGATCATCTTGGAGGGAGCACGACCTCTTTGCAAGTGCTATCCATGGGGGCAAATGTGTATGTGTGTGAGTTTCCTATCAAGATATTTGCAAAATGGCAACATGATAAAATGGTGTCAATCTTTGCAGCAACACTAGAAGATAAATGTCTTAAAATAATTGCGGCATGTCAGAAATTCAAAACGGGATATTTTCCATGAAGACAAGTTTCGTGTCAAGTCTAAAAAAAGGGGCACACTTTAGCAGTTTCATTTTTAGTGGCTGGGATAAGAAACAGATTTCATTAATGTTTTCAGGAAGTTTTTTTTTATTCAATAGAGTTCTTCTGAACTTTTATACTAAAAATAATGTGGACCTCTTTTAAAATGAAAAATAACCCTTGGAACCTGTTGTCCTTGTTTCAAATATAATTAAATATAATTAAAATAAGTTTGGATATATGTGAATACATACATAGGCAAATCAATGACTTATTGACATCTGAATAGCTATACTCAATTTTGTTCTAGTTGTTAGTTTGGACAAGTGTTAATAAAACATGATTCATCTTCAACCTTATAAAAACACAGCTTTCTTCCTTTAATTCTGAGCACATTTCCTTTACGGTGTGTATGATAATCTTGTTTAATTGGATTTATTTTTCCACACTAGGCCCCGCATGGCCTACTTTCCATTTTTTCTCAGGTCTTTGAGTGCTATTTGCAAATCACTTTTCTGGAATTTAATTTCAATGGTAGGTTGGTTTCATTTCAGATTTTTTTGTATTGTTTTAATTTTATTTGCCAATTTGCCTTTAAATAGCCTTAAGCTAGAAAGTTGTAGCTGCAACTTGCATCTAAATGTGGTGGAGGAGGCAACATTTGATTCAAGTGTGTAGAAAGTTCTATGAAAAGGAGTACAGAATGACTACCTGGGTTTTTACTTATGTTCTAAAATAGTTTTGATTAAAAGGAAAAACACATGAATGGGCAAGATTGTAAGAAAAAGTAATGTCCTTGTAATCTGGTTGAATTTAGCCATTGGCAGTATATAAATCCATTTTTCAAAAGTAATACCAATGACTTCAGATTCAGGTATTATAAACCCCCAAATGGGAGGGTAGTCAGTTGTATTTTTAGGGAATAGAAAATTTAACTGGCTGTGTTTCGAATCTGTAAGTTTGTAGTTAGGTGTAATGAATACTGTTTGAAGAAAAAAATGCTCTCTGAGTTTAGCATTGTCTTCCCAGCTACTAACCGCCACGAAGTGAGGTCACGTGACAGATTTGTTATATGCCCACCAATGGGTATGGAGGCAACAGATTGATTTTTTAGGAGGCGTAACAAAATATTTCTATAATATGTGAATTTGGTGAATCTGTTTTCCTCCTTTGTGTTTTTTATTCATTACAGATGATGGAGAATGACCCAGCAGCAAAGCTACAGTGACAAAAATCATACTGACCTTGAAAGGGGTGGGGAATTGTGGGTAAAACACGCTCTATAGGGGGAAAAAATAGTAAGCATCATGGAGAGTTTAAAGAGACTTATAAATCTTTGTCATGTTTTGCTACTCAAACAATTATAAAATACATAAATTTCCATGCCTGTAGAATCATATCTCCCATAAAACCTTTGTCCTTCATGTTAACACTAAAGTATCAAAGAGAGCTATTAGTAAAATTATAAATACAAAGATTTAAAAAAAAATTTAGGTAGAATAGGGAGACAACAGCAGATTGTGGTAATGCTACCAAAAGGATCCTACTCTCCACTGGAAAAACTCACCACTGAGATTTGAGATTTTTAGGAAGTTGGAGTATAGGGTGTTGATGGTAGTGATTAAATTCAGGCAATGCATCTCGGTCCTATTCTCATCTCCTTAGCTGATGACGAGTGGACCTATGGTAGCTACAGACTTCTTCCCTCTCCCTGAACTCTGCAGCTCACATCAGCATTAGCCAAGTATCTGAAACATTTATTTTGGGAAATATTAATTCAGCTTTCCCTCAGGTTTTTACTTCAATGTCATTGATATTAGTGCAAGAGTAATGGCAACATAATACATTTCTTGGCATACTTTAATTTTATTTCTAGTCTATCCCTTAAACTCACCATCTTGTTTTAATATAATCTCACCTGAAATTGGATCAACTAATCACCTCTGCTTCATGATACATCCTGTTGAATAAGAAGAAGTACTTTTCTTTTCAATACTGGGGTCTTTGCTTTGAGTCTCTCACAGTCCCGCACCTACAGCATAGCTACTGATCATACATTGAATATGCTGACGAATTGAAGCTTTAAGGTATCCACCATTCATCTCAGTAAAACCCCAGATGTAACTCTAACTCGTTCTCTTTAACTCTTTCTGGAAGGTAGGCTGGTGTATTTAGGATGCAATGCAATATTTGTTCCCCCCCAAAAAAAACACTATGGATTAATGTAATTTGCACACACTTTATTCCTACTAGCAGCTTGGATAATACAGGTAAATATAGACCAATGAGAAATGGAAATAAAATCAAAATCATAAAAAGAAAAGAATACGTGCGTGTTTAAACTTGATCTACCTATCATCTTGTACCATAAGCTTCAAAAGGGTACATTCTTGGCACATCCGGACATTGGAGAACCTACTCTCCTTGTACAAAGAGCTTTTCTCCAGCTTGTTCGAAAGTTGTAACTAAAATGTGAAAGTTTCCTAAGGGCATTAAGATGGAGCGGGTCAATAATAGTCCAGTGAACAATTGTGTCTTAGTTACACAAGTGTCAGGTAGAAAAATGGTTTAAACTTCCACTAGTTATTTGGTGTTAAGTTTCCAGCTTTGAAAATAAATAGCTAAATTGCTTTCAGCATTTATGTAGCAGTTGGAGATGACTATCCCATATTATACTCTTTCTACTGTATTTTATTTTTATTACCATTATTATTCAGACTGTTTAAATGACTCAGCTTAATATTTTCTCATCACACCGTTCACAGCTGGGTAAATGCACTCTGCCCTCACTTCCACAAGACCATTTATATTGCTAAACCATCTCATCCAACCTCCTTTCATTGCCTTTGCAACTGCTTCTCAGCTTGTTATTACTGTCTTAGCTCCACCCTGTTATCAGCATCTTAGGTCTCTCATGCCCCATTAGTTATTTTCATTCTCTTAATTCCACCCAACTGATTCATATTCCCTCAGATGCTTCCCCATCCCAGTTTTTCACCCTTATCATTCCTCCATTATTCTGATGCTATTTTGTAGCTTATACCAGGGTTTTTGTGTTCCTGTAAGAGTGGAAAATGAAGTAAATACTACTGTATGAAATAAACTTTCCAACTTTTGACTTCCAAAAGTAGAGGAGGGCAGGAATCTTGGTGCTATGTACTTTTAGTTTGGCTGGTAATGCTTGAGAAGGTCAACATAGCTTATTAGCTGACTGGGACGTTCTAGAAAGAGAACTTAAAGGTTGGCCCTAGAGCTATGGCTGTTGCTTTTAGCATTTTTCTTAACTCTGAGCTTTGGTTTCTTATTTGCTAAATGGGTAGTAGTAGAGTGTAGGTGGGTGTTATTGGCTGATTCTGACAGGACACCATGAGAAGCAACCAAGAAGGAATTAACCCTCTACAAATGAACTGAAGATACCTAAATGACAAAAACTGGTGCTGAGGGGAGAGTTTGTGTATCGAGGTGATTTATTAATTCAGAAATGATTTTATTTTATTTTCCAATGGAAATTACAAAGTTTCTATGATCTTTTGGAAGCCATCATATTCCATTATTCTTGAGATGAAAACTAGCTGAGTGCCCACCTATTCTCTTTTGGATCTGCAGAGAACTCTTTCAAAGAGTTTGCAACCAGCCTTTCAAATTGCACATGGGTAGTGTTCAAATAGTAGCTCAACTTGTTTTGTTACATAACATCTAAAAGTAGCTGAGTTAACAGGCTTTGACAGGTCTAAACTAGTTATTCAGTGGTACACATTTAACCAACAAACCCTTAAATTAATAAGTTAAAATAGGTTATAAAGAGAGGGAGGTTCTCATTATAAAGACGCTGCAGTGCTAGATTGCTTAAATAATATTTCAAATTTCGTCAATTATAGATCTTTAAGTTAATGATCTTTTTAAATTAAAAAAAATTAAAAATATCTCCTACATACTAGTGTGGTATGCCAGTGTAGATTTCTTTGTACTTCTATTCTTCTGTATTTACCAGCCTGAAAGGATCTCATTAATTCATGCATTTCTCAAAGTACAAAATAATCGATCAGTAGGACTTTTCTTCAACATGTGGGACTGTTCCCTTCCTAAAGCCTGACCACCAGGCTTAAGTTTTAGTGGATAACCCCATTAAGCCAAAGAAAACCCAACAGGCAAACTAACCTGTGGGACCAGGCTAGTGGAGGTTAATGGAAAGAGAAGTGGAAGGTGGCAGAGGCAGTGAGTTAGGTGGGAAGGAATGTAGCAATATGAAGCCAGTGAGAAGGCCTCAGTAAGTGAAAAATGAGGGCAAAAATGATGTCTGCTCTCCTCCAAACTATGACATATGTCTCTCCTAACATTTTTGTCCATGTATACAAAGGTAGAAATGTGTTAGTTTAGAATCTGGACCTTGGAAATAGACTCCTTGAACTTAAGCCCTAAGACCAACCTTACTTAGTTATACTAGTTACTTAACTTTGTAGAATGGAGACACATGAGTACATAGTGGGTTCGTAGAGTTGATTAAATGAGATCATGTGTGTAAAGCGTCCCCCATGGTCCAGAACTGCAGAGGACATTTAAGCACTCACTTGATAAGAAGTGATAACATTTAAGCTATCACCCTCATTCTTTCTCCCTATCTATTGCTTTAAAACTAACTCAACCTAAGTATGAAACAAGATAAACCTATTATCTTGTGGGGGCATGCCGGTCATTAGTATGGAAACCCAGAATCTGTTATGTTGCACACACAGACAGTGGAACTTCCCTCGGCATCCCCAGAAATCTTCATCTGTGTGATTCATTTGTCCCTAACAGAGCCCAAGGAGCTGAATCCTTGTCCATGTACATTGCACTGCTGAATTAATGCAGTCAGGAAAATTATATGAGGTAACGCTTTGCCCAGGGATGAAGGAAATGCTACAAAAGCATTCCATGGATATATAGAGTAAGACAATATGGACCTTAGATGATCAAGTGTTGGAATGTGTGGAGAACCAGACAAACGAGAAATATTTTCACTGGCTTAGGGGGAAAAATGATATGAATACACTGTATCCTTACATTCTCATTCAATTATTTTGACCCTTTTGGAGATCACTATTGAATGGAGAATGGAGAAGTACATGTATGCATGTTGTGGAGGACAAGTGACCGCAAATTGACACTGTGTGAACGTCAGCACATCACTGTGGTGGATATGGCTGAAAATGTGCTGATGCACCAACAAAGATGAGTAACTATGAACTCTTCAGGGGCTCTGGCTCTGGCTTCTACCTGCTGCTGCCTCTGGCTGGCAGCAGCTCACCAGCTGCCTCATCTGCTCTGGACTGGGTAGGTCAGCAGAGCACCCCGCTGCCCACACAACGCTTCCGTCAGGGCTGTTGGCCATAGGCACCCGCTCCCCAGCACCCCACCCCTCCTGACACTGTTCTGTGGAAAAGTACCACCACCGCCATTTGCAGTGTCTTCCTTCCATTAGTCCCACTGGCTTTGAGTCTAAGTAAGGGACAATCTGATCACACGTTAACTTTTAGCTTTCCTTTCTCTTTCTCCCTTCCTTCCTTCTTTCTGACTTTTCTCCCTTTCTTTTTCTTTCTCCCTCTCTCTGTTTTCCTTTTCTTTTGCCTTGCATGAATTATTCTATAAAAGAGTCTCATCTTCAAGGTTCCAGTCACAGTCATGATGTACCTCTCAAACCTAATGGGTAGTGGTGGTGGGAGGGGGAGTGATAGTTCTCTTATAAAAGAAGCAGTGCTTCCCCTTCTAAATGTTAATACTTGGGCTTTGGTTTTAAGAAACAGAGCGGTAGTTTCACTGTTTTGTTTTGTTTTGTTTTCAAATTTGAATTGCTCTTTTAACCCCAAATCCTAACGAACTTTCATATTTTATTTTTCCAGTAAGTATTACACTTCTTATTTTGCCCATAAATTGGGTAATCAATTCCAAACTAAATGCTGATGCATGTGTTGCCTCAGGATGCTGCTAAACACAGGAATGGGCCTTGTGGACTGTTCTGTAGAGGAGAGTACTGTGGGCCCACGGGGAAGTAGTACAACATTAATCTCCATACTGTGCACTTCTCAGCTAAATAATTAAGGATGACCTCTACCACATCATCAAGGGCAATATGATTATGATACCATTGCCCCATTATGTAACTCTCAGTTTATAATCAGAAATGCTGTAAGCTTCTTGACATTCCTTCTTAATTTTACTAGGATAAGTCCTTGAACGGGCTTTTGTGATAGGGCAGTGGCACTACAGGGTTTCAGATTATTCTTTGCAACCAGCAGCAACATCTCGATCTTCTCTGACATGGTCCATGTTTTCCTCACTCTCTGCCTCTGTCTCCCATCCTTTCACCTTCTTTCCTCTTCTTCCCTCTCTAAAGGCAACATTTTAGTTGAAGCATACTTTTAGATGCAATAGGACATAGACTTCAACCTAAAGGTGTAATTGCTCACTTTCTCTTACTAGTCAAATTATTCCAGTTTCTCTTTTCCATCTCTTTACACCTTTTTTGTTAAGTGTATGTTGTTCTATTTAACAAGGTCACCTTAGATTTGTCAGAATCTTGAATTCACCCCTATGCAATCCCTAATGTCAGGAATGAATCAAGCAACTACATTTCTTAATAAATTTCTTAAGTGCCTTAAGGACATTGATGTCTCTAGCTGAAGAAAAGAATATAGAATTTGGTCTTCCAAGACAAACGAACTGGATATGAATTTTAAACGTAATATTCACATAGAATTTGTGTAGCTGCATCTCATCAAATTGTCACAGACTGAAGTCAGTGAGAGTTATGAATGAGAAACTGGAGACCGAAGGTAGAGAAGTTCCTGGTTGTGTTTTATAGGTAGAGCGGAATCTCAAGCAGTTTCAATGGCTGTAATATCACATTTTAAGACAACTTTCACTTAAGTTGATTTTTTTTTTCTTGAAGGCTTATCTAAACTGAATAAAGCAAGATGGAAACATCTCTCCTGTTTATAATATTTCTAGTTTTCTCAAACAAGCCAGGGCAGAAGAAAAAAAAGAAAAAAAAAAGAGCAAAGAACACAACACAAAACACAAAAAACCACATCTTAGTGGCTTGTAATTCTGAAATAATAACAGCACAGTCTTGACTTTCCTTTCAGTCCAAATGAACTTTTTTATTCGGCATTAACTTTTTGTTTGGTTTTCTTTGACTGATTCCAGTACTCATGTCCTTATTCTGTTAGCATTCCCCGTGATCCGCTCATCGTCCTTCTGCTTCTCAGTGGTGAGAACATACTTGCTTACACACTCACAGCCACCAGAGGAACAAGGCAGGGGGTCAGAGACCAGACCACCATGTGCTGTTAGGAGCAAGGTTCCAAGGTCAGGTCCCTCACTAATATTAGCAACTTTAAAACGTCTGAGCCGTCTTTAGTCTACTTTCAGGATCTTCTCTGGTCTTCAGAAATACCCTTTCCTACCATTCCACTTCGGTTCTCATCATGTGTCAGAAAAGTAATGTCTCCTGCTGTCGTTCGCAAACCTTCCTGCAACCATGTTTCCTCCTTCAGATTTTATATTACATTTTAATCATTCATTCCACCCTTCCTTTTGGGTTGTTAAAAATACTCTTTCTTTTTCTAGCCTCACCCTTCCCCCAGCACCTTATTCATCTTCACTGAGTATGTCTTCCCCAGTCACTGTCATCCTTAACTGTCATCACTTCCAGGCCCTTCTTACCTCGACCCTGCTTCTTAAAGAGACCATCACTAAAGGGATTTGTGCTTTCTAAATATTTGTTCAGTTTAACCCACAAGGAAAAAAGTCAGATAGAAGAACAAACAAACAAACAAAACAAGGCAGTTATCAAAAGTAAATAGAAAATAGAGAGAGAAGTTATTTCCTTTGTAAATCTCTCCTTAAGCACATGCGTTGAAAACCCTGTGTTTTTATTTCAGTGAGTTTTTTTTTTTTTTTTTGGTGTATGTTTACCTTTAATAGATTAAAAACAAAGTTTTCAGGTTTTCCGTGAGAGCGCAATCCCACTGAGCTAGGGCTTGCTGTAGCATACTTACTGAAAAGGACGAGGCTGGCGTTGGTGACCCCCAGCTTGTTGGCAGCCACACAGGTGTAGTTGCCATAGTGCTCCTCAGTGACGTTGGTCACCGTCAGGGAGGACTGGCCCTCTGTGCTCTTGATCTCAAGGCCATTGGCACTGTTTATCCTGAGAGTTCAAAAACGGAAGAATAAAGAGAACACGGTTGAAGATTTAGTTTGATAATTCTTTACCCACCCTCACACTGGACAAAAAGGATAAAAAGACTCAGAGTTTGTTCTGTTCCCTGCTCAATGTCTCGTTTTCATTGTGCAATCCCATACTGTCAGAATCAATGCCCATTGGCAGAGCAGGCTGAGGAATGGATGAGTTCTAATGGGCTTCACTTTCTCTATAGGCAAAAAGACTTGCAAAGAAAGCCACCCATTGAATCACTTATTTCACTTTTTATATTTTACCCTTTGTAAATCTCTCCTTAAGCCCATGCGTTGAAAACCCTGTGTTTTTATTTCAGTGATTTTTTTTTTTTTTTTTGGTGTATGTTTACCTTTAATAGATTAAAAACAAAGTTTTCAGGTTTTCCGTGAGAGCGCAATCCCACTGAGCTAGGGCTTGCTGTAGCATACTTACTGAAAAGGACGAGGCTGGCGTTGGTGACCCCCAGCTTGTTGGCAGCCACACAGGTGTAGTTGCCATAGTGCTCCTCAGTGACGTTGGTCACCGTCAGGGAGGACTGGCCCTCTGTGCTCTTGATCTCAAGGCCATTGGCACTGTTTATCCTGAGAGTTCAAAAACGGAAGAATAAAGAGAACACGGTTGAAGATTTTAGTTTGATAATTCTTTACCCACCCTCACACTGGACAAAAAGGATAAAAAGACTCAGAGTTTGTTCTGTTCCCTGCTCAATGTCTCGTTTTCATTGTGCAATCCCATACTGTCAGAATCAATGCCCATTGGCAGAGCAGGCTGAGGAATGGATGAGTTCTAATGGGCTTCACTTTCTCTATAGGCAAAAAGACTTGCAAAGAAAGCCACCCATTGAATCACTTATTTCACTTTTTATATTTTACAAGACGGTTCTGGGGCATCAGCTTAAGAGCTGCAAGCCCTAAAAGATAGGATACAGAGATACCGACAAGGAAAAGTCTAATAGTAAAGTTCTACACAATTAGAGCTGTGCATGTAGGCCCACCCAGCTGAGCATACCTGGTGTCATCCCGGTACCACTCAAAGTCAGGTGCAGGCACTGCCGAGGCCTCACATTTGAGTGAAGCTTGTCGCCCTGTGGTGGCTTCATTGCTCTTGGATTCTGTGATAGTGGGAGGATCTGTAGGAAGGACAGGCACACAGGTTTATATGAGAGTAAGACAGCACTCCAGAATTTCCATTCAGGAAGGAGCTAAGGACAATCCATTCAGGAAAGAGCTAAGGAAAGGAATTGTTTTAAAGCTGAATTTACATCAATTTTGTGGTCAGCTGAAAGGGACTGGTCATTAGAACACTAAGCAAAAATACGAGATGATTAATGAAAAGATAAACTTGTTTGCTTATATGAGACATTTAACAAGGGGCCAGCAGGTGGTGTGGTGGTTAAGGCACTGAATTCCCAAATGGCCAATTGCAGTCCATGTCCTGGACCTGGCAACTTGCTCTCTCACTTTCCTCTTCTCCCTCTTTCTCTGTCTCTCTCTTTCTCTGCTGAGTGCTTGTGCCCTATAGCAAATTAAAAAAATAATAATAGCGTTAAATAAAATTAAATAATTCTTTAAAAAAATGGGTCCGAGGAGTTATTTTATCCTCTTTCAATAAATCACTAGTTAATCCAACCATATATTATGATATTTGCATCGTTTTCTGCTTTTCATAAATTAAGCAATAATACTAAAGGACTTGGATTTTATGTGTGTAATTTGACTACTTCTCTTTTCATCATCATCATCATGGCCATCATTAGTATAGTCTGAGATGGCTTCAAAGAGCCTGAAAAAAATAGAGGGCTGAACTCATCCCAACCCAAGCTTAGCTTGATACTATTGTAGGAACACAGAAAAGCAAACAAACAAAATACAAGTAGTAAGTGATTAGTCTATCTAATTTTCTCCTATGTGTCCCCTTATTGCTACAAGAGAGAATTTTTATTTATTTTATTTTATTTATTTATTTATTTATTTTGCAGTTTGGTCTACCTGAGTGCATGGAAGTCTTACTGGTGTATCAGTTTTGAACTCTCTCTAGCAGTTGCATAATTGATACTTTTATCCCTAGGACTGGGCCTACAAAACTATAACAGGCTTAACATGAAGTAGGAGCACATCTGAAATTATAATCTGCCACTGTGCTTTCAAAAAGCCCTGAGATGGCACAGGTGTGTCCAAGTCCATATGACTGAGACAGGAACATAGGCTTGAGCTCCTGGGCTTGGTGTTATGTGGAAGGTTATGGATCTTCAAGGAGGAAAAGATTTTTTTCTATCCAAAAGTTATTTGCTGAAAAATGATGATTTGGCTATATGCATGTGGAAAAAACCAGACCCAGTCTGTTTAGACTTTGTGGAGGGAAATACTAATTTAAAGAAATGAGTAAACTTTAATGTACAAAATTCATTTAAGCTCTTGCTCCAGAGCACTTTGTCTGTCTTCCTTATTTTTCAATGTTTTTTTCATACTTGAAAAGTATTCTCTAACTTTTCTACCTATAGAAGATTCTCTTCTTCTGTGTTTAAAAAGATGAACAAAAGCAACAGGACAGTCTACAGTTTATTCCCCCATTTTATTTTCTGTTAGCATGGAAATCTTTTTTTAAAATTATTATTATTATTGTTTTTAGGTTTTTGTCATAGAGTACATGCACTTCCGGGAGAGAGACAGAGCGAGAGAGGGAAAAGGAGATATCACTCCGGGGGCGGGGTGTGATAGATAGATGTGCTGCAATCTCTTCTCTTTCATTCCTTCTCTTGGAATTTTGGGCCTGCATGCACACACAGCCTACATGGTTTTCAAGGTGCCAAGATCAAGACTTGAACCACTGTTAGCCATCTGAGAATCTAGTGCCTTAACCCCTGGGCTACCTGCTGACCTGCAGCATGGAAATTTTTAAGTCACTATCAGAGAAAGGAATTCGAGCACAGTTGCATAAACAACAGTATACAAGGAAGCAGGCCTGCTGTGGCAGTCTCTCATTGTCTCCTTGTTGTTGTGATTGAGCCTTAGCTGCTTAGTTTTGTATAGACACAGGATAGGAGGATGAGGTGGTCGGAAGAACCTTGAATTGGAAACTGGGAGTCCTGGAATTTAATTTCAGTTTGGCTGTGTGAACCTCCTATTATACTCTTCATCTTTCTGGGCCTTGGTTTTATCACTTATGAAATGAGGGACCCACATTTTAATGATCTATAACATCCCTTCTAGCTATAAAATATCCCAATTCTTGTCAAAACTGCTCATTCTTCACAAATGGGCAGTTGGTATCATGATCCAAGTGCATTTTTATATCCTTAACTCATTTAACACTTAAGTTGCCAACTTTCCGAGTTATAACACATTCATCTATTCGATAGTTTAGGAGTTCGGATTAAGTCAGGGATAGAAAACCTCATGTCTTATTCTACTAGTAACCAGAACTATAGTTTGAGCAACTATCTCCATAAGTTTGAGGATTTTTCCTTCACCTTTTGAAAAAGGAACTAGACTAAAATGATCACCATTTTACTTGGAAGTTTTTCATTCAAGTCAGCCAGAGGCATGGTGGTTAAAATGTCTGGATCCCGCATAGCTGACTATGCTGTTGGAGTCCTGGACCCAGGGGCTTGTGAAACACACCTGGCATATGTGTGTGCATGTCCAGAATCCTGAGAGGAGAATGGAAAGGAGATTGAGTCATGGCCATCACATAGCCAGGTGCTTTCTCAATCTCCCTATCTCTTTCTCTGTCTCTTCGGTGAGTTGATAAACCCTATAGCAAACTTTTAAAAGTAATCGAATAAATAAATAAAAATCTTTCATTCTATGACTGTTATCTAGATCATTAGAGCACATCAGTTCAAAGGATAATGCAGTAATAGGTGGTGGTGGTGTTAGTAAGGGCAGTATTAGAGAAGGGATAGAGAACAGAATTCAGGTTATGAGCTTAGATTTAGAATTTGATAGAACTGAGCTCCAATACAGACTCTCTTCCTCATTGATTGCTCATTAGAGAGTTTAGTGCTTTGCCCAGAGTCACACTGCTTCAATTTCCTCATCTATAAAGTGTTGGAATGAGTGGTAGAAAGAAGAAACTCCTGAAGGAATCAGCAGAATTTGTGATTAGGTCATTTGAAAAGAGTGGACAGGTCTGAGATGTTCAAGGTCACAGAATTGACCACACTGGCAGTGTTTTATGTATAAAGAGCGAGGGGAAGAAGAAGAGTCAAAAAGAAACACCCTGGGGCTGACTTTGGGGTCTGGTGGATAAGGCAGCTGAATCCCACATGGCCGACTACATGGTTTGAGGCTTTAGAAACATGCAAGTGCATGCATACCCAAAATCTCAAAAGGAGGAAGAATTAGAAGAGAAGAGACAATGCTGTGACCATTCCTTACTCCTGCCCCTCTTCCTTTGTATCTGTATCTCTCTGGTGAGCCCATGTGCCCTCTAATAGAAAAAAAAAAGACATCTTAATTTTAGGCTTGGTCATCTTAATGATTCCATCTACTGAAATAACTTATGTAAGAAGATAAATATATGACTAGTAATAAAAAACAAATATGAGCTTCTCATCCTCTTCTTTTCACTGTATTAGTTTCTTGAGTTATCAATAGTCCACAGCCTATAAAACAGTGGCTTACTGATGTTGACTGAAAAGATAATTTTGCTTGAGGTTCTACTGATATGCTCAATTTCATAGTTTGTAGAACAAACTTTAACCAGTGTTTGTGAGTTTCTGGAGTTCTGTAGTTATAACTGACCAACCTTTCTGAATTTTTTAAAATTTAATTTTATTCATCATTATTACTATTTTTTTTATTCAATCAGGATGAGACAGAGAGAAACAGAGCAGGAAAGTGAGAAAGCAAGCTGCCAGGTTCAGTACTTGAACCATGGTTGCACATGTGGGAGTCCAGTGCCTTATCCATCACATACCTGCCAGCCCCTTAACTGCCAAACTTTTAAGAATGACTATTACTTTGGTAAAGCAGCCCTAATTCTGGATGAGACCTCACGCTTTCTACCACCACCACCTCTGTGCTCACGGCTCTAGCATCTTAGCATTGTGCTGCCATGGTGGATGGCTTCAAGTGTCTCAACCATGGGACCAGGAATGCAGGTTCCAGCTGTACACTTTTGCAGTTTCTCCTTACGCTACATGCTTCCTTCCATGTTGTCACAGAGACTTACTTAGTGTACTACTTGTCTGGGACCTAGGGAAATGAATGACTGTTCTGACCAGAAATTTTGGGAAGAGTAAACTGAGTCTGTTTGGCTCCTTTCTTCCCTTTCTTCCTTTAGGGACAAAGTGTCTAGCAGGGAGAAAGGTTTTCCTCTGTTTCTCTGTGCTCGAAGTCTTGTGATCTCTCTTTCCTGCTCTTATGTGGACAGGCTTGCCTCTAGCCCAGGGTCACTGTGACAGAAGAGGCTAATCAGCCACATTAAGCTAATATTTCTTCCTTTCCACAGCCGAGCGCACTGCCTGCCACCACACCACCACCTTCCTCTCTCCCTTCCCCTTTCTCCCCTTTTCCCTTTCGTTTCTTTGCGGCTCCCCTTGAGCTTGACTTCCCTTCCCTTCCCTTCCCTTCCCTTCCCTTCCCTTCCCTTCCCTTCCTTCTCTCTCTCTCTCTCTCTCTCTCTCTCTCTCTCTTCCTTCCTTTTTTTTTGAGAGAGATTTTTGCTATAGGGCATGTGTGCTTTCCAGAGAGACAGAGAGATAGAAAGTGAGAAATCACCCCCCAGGGGAGATGGCTATGCCACAATCCCTTCTCCTCCATTCTCCTCTCTGGATTTTGAGCACACAATCACATGTATCCCGGTGTGGGTTTTAAACTGCCAGGTCCAGGACTCGGACTGTAGTCGACTACAGGGGAGTCTTGCGACCTAATCGTTACGCCATCTGCTGGTCCCTTAAGTTATTTTTTCTAACAGGTTTTATCTCAAGCAACAGGACATTGGATTCCCCCAGAGTGCCCCTTTACTTTCTCCTCAATTTGTTCAGAACCTGAACAACAAAGCACTAAGTTACTTACTAGCCCCTCAGTGTCCCTAGAATGGAGAATCTGGCAGTAAAGTAGGGTGGAGTACTTTTATGTGCGTTAATCTTGTCGACTACAAAGGCTTCTCTCTTTGAAAACTTACCAAGTTTCTTGTACCAGAGTAAATTTAGAAGTGCTGATAAATTACAAAGAACTCATTGTTCCTAATATTTCTCAAATGACATCATGGTGCACGTCTATTCTTCCATGGCTTATTGGAATGAACATTGCAAAATTCATATGTAATGAATTCTGTATAGGTGAGACTAAGAAAGATCATTACAAATCATACTGTGGCATGTTTAGTGTAGTTAAAATAATAGATGCCCTTGCTCAAAATATGATTATAATCAAAATGTAGCTTCATAAAAATGCTGCACAGAGAAGTTCATTGTTATTCTTTACGTGACTTTGGAAAAGAGTACAATTGTCTAAGAACTCTACCAGTGTATATTGCTTCAAAAGTCTGGGTTCTAAAAATATTAATAAAGACTTTCTTCTTACGTCATAGATAACAAGGCTTTGTCATTGAGAATGAATCAATACCATTGACAGTGACCGAGGAAACTAAACACTGTCCTGTCTTCCTGACACTGGAACTAATACTGTACAACAATAAAAGTCTCAATGAAGGATGAACTTTATGGGTACTTATGCCTACAGGAGAATCATATTTATTTATGTCAATTCTACTAGGCCTTAGATATTCTCTTTAGCCAAATAATAATCCTAAGATGTATTATTAACTCACTTTTATATAAGAAGATAGGTCTATATAGGTTTAGTGACTTGTCCAAAATCACATGGCCAATATTTATGGAGTCTAGATTTGAACTCAGGGCCATAATGATCTGAAACACATATTCTAAACCACTCTGCTTCATACTTTCATTTGACCGAGTTCTTTCAGAAAAAAAAAATGAATTTATAATAAGGAAAAAAAAAATACTGTGTAAAGGAGAGTGGTGGGAGCTTAGAAGGCAAATGTTACAGATTTCCGCTATTCACAGAGTACCAAAAACAGTGGCACGACCTGCAGTGACACAGTGGATATAAACCTGCATTAGGAGTCAGGAGATATGGGCTCAGTTTCCACCTGAGCCACCTAAGTTGTCATCAGAGGCGTGGTACCTTCCTGCAGCCCCTCATCTCTGATGAAGACGATACCACCTATCTGGCTCACACATTTGATGTAGTAATATCTAAAGTGATTACATTTATTTTTCTTTTCATTGCTATTGTTCATGTGGTGTCATGGAAAGGGGTGGGCTTTGGAATTAGACCCTGTTTAGGTCCCAAGTCAACAACTCACAAGTTCTTTGACTTTGCTACAGAACATTTTTCTTACATTCTCTAAGTGTTGTTTCTGTCCCCTCTACCCTGCCTCCCAGGGTTAGAGTGCAGCAGACACTGGGTTGTCTTTTAAAAATACCATCGTGCAATAGCAATGCTTGTATTTATTGATCATTCACTGTGTGTTATATATTATCCTAAGGATATTGGGCACCAGAGTGAGACAAATTCACAGGCAAACACTTCTAATGCACTGTGAAAACTGAAAGAGTGTACCTATAACTGCAATGCAGAACAGATCTGTCTTGGTATTCAGCCTTCCTATATCTTACCCACTGTACAGTTGCTAATTTAAAGAAGGTAAGATATAGGAAGCTGAAAGTTCTATTATATAAATTCCGAGCTTTATTTATTTATTTATTTTTTGGAGAGGTTTTTGCTATAGGGTGCGTGCACTCGCTAGAAAGACAGAGACACACAGAAAGCGAGAAATCACCTCCACCAGGGGGGATGGCCATGCTGCAATCCCTTCTCCTCCATTCTCCACTGGGGATCTTGGGCACGCACACACATGCGCCCGGCGTGAGTTTAAGCCATGGGGTCCAGAATTTGAACCACAGTCAACTGCATGGGAGTTCAGCGACATAGCCATTACACTGATTGCTGGTCCTCCTCCAAGCTTTTTTAATTGAAGAGATTTCCAGCTAATACTTTCTGTAAATTTCAGAACCTCCTACCACTTTCAAAAAGAATGTTTGCATGTAAAATGGCTGTGAGTAGACCTACTGCAGAGAAGGGTTGTCCAAAAGAAGTACAAAGGACTGAACATAGATTCCGGTTAGTGAGCTCAACAGAAAAAAGTGTTGTGTCTCTTCTGTTTACTGCTGTCACTTCTAAGTGCCCTGTAACAAACATCTGTTGACAAGTGAGTAAATGAATCAATGAAGTGCTGGTAGGAGAAAATTGCCAGCACTGAGATTTAGTTTTTTTTTTTTTTTTTCTCTCCAGTGGTTCTCAGGATCTGGTTTTCACAATAATCTATTCAGCCAGTTTTTGTTTTGTTTTGTTTTGTTTTCCATCTTGATCCCCTGCCTAATTCCAAAGCCTGTGTTTTGAAAGGAAGAAAATCAGTTTAAATAACGAGGTATTTTCATAGCAGGCAGGCTCAGAAAAACTAACACAGGTGATTCTGGATACTTCTATAAATGTGAGGCAGACCTGCTTCTGTAATTCGATCTTGGCAACTTCAGATATTGAAAACAGCTATAGGTAAGTAGGATGAGATACTTGAATAGGACAACTGGAACAACGAGTAGTTTTAAGCTAATATAAACGTAGCTCATGGAATTTTATTCAAAAAAGTGATTCCAAGGAAAACTGATATCAGGATATTCTCCCTAATGTCTGAGGAGTACCATTTGCCAAGTTTGGCGACAGGTTAAGAGGGGAGTCTTTCCAGGTGACTTTCCCCCACCTACCTATTCAGTAGCACTGCACTGAGAAGTCTGTAGAAGGCCAGGCACGGTAGGTGCTGCTGGCAGGATATCCTGGATGCAGGCCCAAACTCGGTACCGTTTTCTGTATAATTTGTTATGAGATGTCTTTTTCGAATCTCGAGGTCCTGTCTATATTCTTCTGTGGTTTGCACATCACTAGAAAAAGCTCATATTTTCATAAAAAAATCTTTTCTTGAAAATTATCAGTATTTTCTTCTGTTCTAAATTACACTTTGGGGACAGTCGAGAAGGAGTAATGTCAGACTAATTGTGCTGATAATAAAAAGGGCCCAGGCGGCTAGCTTTGATCTTGGGAACCATCTGCAGTCCAGACCACTTTGATGTTTCACACAATGGAAGCATAAATATTTTCTATGTACTCCATGATTGGACTTTCAGAAATCTAATTAAGATGAAGGTCAATTAAGAGAAAATGAAATCTTGCCTCCAAAAGTCAGGGACGAGGTGGAAGATGATGGCATGGTTATGTGTACATAAAAGCAGCTAACTAACCTAATTATAAAGTTATATAAACACCCAGAAAAATTGCCTTTCATGTAAAAAAAAAAAGGTCCTAGAGCATTTTATAACATTGAGATCATTAATGTGTCTTTGAAAACACACCCAGTACTGGAAAAGAATAGTAATACTGGCATTTCAAAACTATTAATAAAAAAACTTGGAGTTAAGGATAGAAAGCACTTCAAACTCATCAAATGCAGCCCCAGTTTGCTTCCTGAAAAGGAGAAACAAACGTCTATAGCAGAATCATATTTATTTAATTCTCCCAGGTGTGGTGTGAGACAGATTTTGCAGTCTGTTTCAGAAGGCTGCAAGACTGGAGGGGAGGCAGGGGGAATAGTACCACCAAGCATAGGCTGTGTTATCGGGACGTGAGTTTCCTCAATAATCGAAGCCTCACTTCTCAAATTTCTAAGATAAAACTAACGATGCTTATCTCTGGTTTACTATGAAAACCAAATGAGGAATCTAAAGCCCTTAACCCACTTTGGCACATAGTGGGTTTTAAAACATTGAAAATTCCTGCTCCTCTTTCTCTTAAGAATCTGTGCTTGAGAATCAAATGGACCCGAGTCTGAGTCCTCCTAACTTGCTTTCTGTGTCACTTTGAGCAAGTGATGTTATCTCCCTGGACTTCAGATTCTCCATTTCGAAAATGGGCTAAGTCTACCTACCTTGCTAGAGTTGTTTAGAAGAGTAGGGAGAAATTATATAGATGCTCTGACACGCAGGTAACTGCATAGAAGACATAAAATGACAGAAACTAACTTATCGTGGCCTAAAGTACACTTTCAAATGTGGGTTAATATGTTTGTGTCTGTGTGCCTACTCATGTATATGTGTATATTGTATGTGCATGTGAGTATGTAGGATGTGTGTGTGTGTGTGTGTGTGTGTTACATACAGAGATGAAAAGAACTGTCAAGACATCCCTTTGTCCCTGTCACTAGCCACAACTGTGTAATGTGGAAACTTGAATTTGAATGCTGTAGAAAGTCACTCCTAACTGAACAGGGTAAACGAATTCTCTTTATTCCTTTCCTAGATGACACATATCATATGGATCCTTCCTGCACCCTTTTGAACTACATCTAAGGATTCTTTCATCTGAGAACTTCAAAGTATGCCCACTTACCTATGCATCTTAGTAAAAAATCTTCCTTTCTAATGCCCATACGTTAGGACAAATAGATAACCAAAATTAACTTATCAGGAATCCTGGCTGCCATTAGGGACACACAGTATTTGACCACAGGGGCTTAAGTTGGTTCCCAAGGGCAATTAGTTAAATAGCAGAGGATGAAATATAAGCTGGGGCTATTTTCTTCTGACAAACAATACATTAAGATTGAGATTCCAGTGAAAGCAGGTGTGAATTGTTGCCTTTCCAAGGTAGTATGACCTTGATTTCCACAAAAGCCAGAATAGTGCCGGTCAGAAATGCTGGTGCTGTCTGATCATGTTTTCTTAATTCTGTAGTCTGAGTAAAAGACAGGGGGTATTGTTAAATGTATTATGGGTTATATTTAGAGTTGGTCGAGTTGATTTATCACATTCAAAGGCCAGCCTCTGCCCTTGGATGTGTCCAATGTATAAATGTGCATCCCTGACCAGAAGAACATCTGCTTGAAATGCAATCCTCTTTCGCTAATGGACTCTTCAGAGTTCGCTGGAGGTGGAGGTGTGCCCTGGGAACAGAGCACCTGCTGGCTCCTGCCATACTCACAGTTCACAGTGACCTTGACTTGTTTGACATCTGCCGAGGAGACCTCATTGGCAGCTTTGCACTCGTATTTGCCTGACTGCTCTCTGGTGATGCCGAGGATCTCCAGATATTCTTCTTCTCCTTCAAATTCTCTCCCTGAAAAACAGAAGTTTGCATGATTGTTTGCAGCAGGTTGCCTCATTTTTCTTTTTAAAAGCAATACATCCATATGATTTTTCAATACATTTTCTCTGAGGTCAGATTCCACAGATGTTGCCCCCAACACCAAAGTTCTTGTGAAAATTATTCGGTGGCAAGTATTCTCAGGACTGGATGGGAACTGGGGGAAATGAGGCCCGGAAGAGAAAGAAGCCAAGCAAGAATGTAATGTAATGTAAGCTAAGTCCCATAGAGAGCATCTTGGCTCAGTGAATCTGAGAGGGAGCTCTGGGTACTGCACACGTCTCACTTCAAAGTTGTCCCAATCATGAGGCAGGAGCTGGAGTGTTTGTACGTCCCACGCCCCTCAGTTGTTGGTTAAGGTTTGGGGGCAAAGTGTGTGTGGGGGGGTGGAAGTAGGTGCACACAAGTTGTAAAGCACTCTTGAGAAGATGTAAGTAAGCACAGACATCAGCAGTTATACCAAGCTACAAGGCACTCTTTACACGGAAGTGGTTGTAAGAAGAAGTGGCTTCCTTTTGAGAAACCACTACCCTTCTTCAGATTGTGGAATTCTGTTTACAGGGACCATGTGCTAATCCTTGCAATTATGGTTTCTTTGTTCTGTATCAAACTATAGCATCATTGAGGTTTTTAGACCATGGAGAATGTGCTGCTGATGGCGTGTTTTGTGACAGACATTGTCACCTGGTGTAGGGTAAACAAAGCCAAGTATCAGTGGGTTAGTGGTTGGGATTAGGGATGGAGAGGAAATTATGGAAAGATTTACAAAGTTGGATGGATCCATTTTAGTAAATAAATCTCAAGATAGGCAAACTTGTCTACATTTCCCTCATGTGCAGTATAATTAATTAAATGACCTTTTACCTGAAGAGATGGCAAGAGAAATAAGGGAGAAAAAGTGAAGGGAGAGGAAAAGGAAAAGAATAAAGAGAAGGTAAAGAGGTGAAGAAGCTGGGCAGCAGAAAGAGCTTAGCCAGAGTTTGGCCAGAAAGAACTACAGATTTTAACTCCAGCAATAGTCAATCCCCATAGCTCCAGACTTCAAAATCCTACTGCCACATGGCTTAGGATAGAGCAGCTGGAAGGGGTGCTGGAGAACATTGTCCTGCCTCCATGATAGAATCTTGCTCCTGGTCATCTTATCCTAAACGGTACCAATTAATAGCTCTGCTCAAATGCCACAAGCTGTTTTTCTTTTCTGGAAATTCCCTGGTGGCCAAATCAACATAACAGCCAGCCAGCATGGAGACAAATTCACAGTCTAAATATGTCAGCTAAGCCTGTTAACTAGGCTCCCATTAGAACATAGGGCCTCTTTGATAACACTAACACAACTGTCAGGAATACTCCAAGCTTCAATTGTTCTATCAACTGTCAGCAACACTAGTTTCGAGAAAACTTTGCAATTCCAACAACAAATAAGTAATAGTGATATAAAATTATTTGGTTCTTAAGTTCCAAACATAATCTAGCATGTACTTCTGTTGAAAATGGTTAAAGATTAGTCTGTAGCACATTTATTGCATGTTAGTAATAAAATGTTCAATTTTTCCCCTGTCTATATTTCCCCTCTTTTCGTTTCCTACCTTTAAGCAAGTAATAGATCTGAATTTACATGTTACACAAGTGGAATATGCTATGGAAGAAAATAAGTCTCACAAAGGGTAATGAAGGGCTAGCAGGTGATGTGGTAGGTAAGGTGCTGGATCTCACATGGCTGAATCGGTGGTTTGAGTCCCAGATTCAGTGGCTTGAGAAATGGGAACATACATGTGTGTCCAAAATCCCAAAAGGAGACCAACGGAAAAGAGGTTGAGCCATGGTCATCTGCTTTGGGGAATGATTTATGGCTTTCTCTTCCTGCCTCTAACAAGTGGATTCACCCTATGACAAAAATCTTAAAGAAAGGGGTGGGGGTAATAGGTTATTTTATTGAATTAAATTGGCAAGACTGAGAATGGGAAAAATAGAATCTTTCCTGCATACTCACACCTATGGACTGACAGTCATCCCAACTATTTTTTTAAGAGAGATTTTTGCTCATTGGAGAGACAGAGAGAGACAGAAAGAAGAAATCAGCCCCTCAGGGGAGGGCTATGCCTCAATCCCTTTTCCTCCACTCTCCTCTTAGGATTTTGGGCACACACCCACATATGCCCATTACGACTTTTAAGCTGCCAGATCCAGGGCTTGAACCATGGTCCACTATAGTGGAGTTCAGTGATGTAACCATTATGCCATCTGCTGGTCCTCATGCCAATTATTTGATACTAAGAATCTTTTAGCTATTATTTAGAATATAAATACCCTGATGACTAATGGCAGCTTTGACAATTACAGTTTTTGTTTAGTAGGCTGAAATAGGTATAAGCTCATTAAAATCTTGCCTGCAGAAGTTGAATAGGCACTAAGATAGCATTATACATTTTAAGAATATTGGTAGGCTGTAATGAGAAAAAAGTTGATTATGATTTCGGAATGTTTTAGGATTTCTTATCTGCCCTCTCCCACACCCATAAACCTTATTCCCAAATGAAAACAGAGCTGTCAGTAGAATAGAGAGTACAGCCATAGAGATGACCGAAAACATTAAATTCATTTCAACTTGTATAAAACACCTAGAAATGATAGGTCATGGTTCCTACCCTTCATCTTGAATTTCTAAAAGAAGTATAACCAGTTGTAGAGAAGGAAAAGAAAGTGTAGCAGCTCTAACTGAAGTCCTACTTATTTCGAAAGATGACACCTCTGAGTAAATATTAAAACAAACAAGAGAAAATAAAACAATATTTATTGGATTTAGGGCCTGAGATTTTTAGATGCCAACCTAGATATTAATAATCACATTTGGAATCAGGCAGTGGTGTGGAGGTGATATAATGCTTTATATAATGCTTTATAAAGCAACCTCACACAGGAAGGCTTTGGGTTCACGTCTGGAGACTTTCCTGAGAGCACTGAGCCTGCATGTGTTCATCATTCAGGGCTAGCTAAAGCTGGTGGTGGATTGTAGCAGCAAGACCCTGTTGGGGATGATTTCTCTCTCTTTCTCTGTACATAAACTTAAAAGCAAAACAAAACAAAATCTTGGGTTAGCATCTAAGGCACAGTAGATAAAGTATTGGACTACAGAGCTGGAAGCCACATGCCAACCACAGTTTGAGTCCCCAACTTAGTTGGCCTGAAAATATGCGGCCTGTGTGCATGCGTGCCCAAGATGTTGATGAGCTAGAGGGAACTGGCATGGCCAAGAACTGTGGAGGGCTCTCTCATTATCTCATGCACATACTTGTGCTCTGTCATAAACAAGAATGAATGACAATCTCATTTTTTCCCTTATAAACAGAAAGTATTAAGTCGTCAGGAAAGTCATGATATATTTTTCTATGCAAAAATGCATCATGACTTTCTCAACAGCCCAACAAAATAGATTTTTATCAGATAAAATTTCAATCTCATGTCTCTAGAAAGTTTCTCTAGTACTATTTGAGGATGGGGGTGGGGGAAGAGTGGTTTACATGTAAGGCAGAGATGATTTTGCTGCAATAGCTCTTCACTCCAAAGGCTACCTCTTAACTCCAGCACACGATGTATGTAGCTGTCTCGCTACAGTGAGTCTCAAGGTGCAAACTAAATTCATTCAAGAGAAACTACATGATATTCCCTCATCTAAGCAATCTGACAAGAATTTAAAATATTGAACAACAACTCTTGACCTTCCCTATTGCCTTTTTTCCTTTATTCACTCCTCAAATCCTTCAGTGGAATCTCTTTCATCCCCTAGTATTTCTTGCTTGTTTTTTTCTACTCACACCCATGTGAGACTTTTCCCACTATGTATCACCTCTAGTAATACAATGGAGAATTTCTTATTAATCTGCAGAAATTTGATAGGAAATGGGAGGTTCTTTGTTGCTTGATTTTGGTTCCCTGGGATCCTGACTTATAATAGTCCATGAATAAACACAGTATTAGAGTGAGCTTGTTATAGGCTGAAAACTTGTGTCTCTCCAAAATGCATATGTTGACACTTATTTCCTAGTACGGTATGTGAAGTTTGGTTTTCTAGGAGTGATTACATCATGAGGATAGAGCCCCATTATGAATGAGATTAGTGCCTTTAAGCTGCCCTGTCTGTGGCATTTTTGTTACAGCAGCCCAAATGAACTGTGACACAACTGAAGTGAATCAAGAAAAACAAGTAGATACTAGAGTCAGATTCATATACTTCATATAGCTTAAGAGGCTAAGCTAAATATTGAAAGGTGGTTAAGTGTTTTTTGTAAAGAAGCTGGTATAAAATTCCACTCCTATTTAATGATCCTAATAGAGTGCCATTTATTGGGGAAGACTGGATATGCTGAAGACTCTGCTCTTGAAAGCTGGATGGGGCCTCTCTGGTCATGTCTTGAGGATGTATCAGCTGCATGGAGTTATTGTTTCAGAAAACAACAGAGCCCCCCCATAGACACAGGCAGAATATGAAGCCATTCTTCTCCTCTCAACAACTGTAGTTTCTTTTTTTGAGGCATGGAACACACCATGTAAGGCATGAGTCACTGAATTTTAAAATGCACTTGGCCTCTCTTGCTGTTCTCCCTTTGCCTCCATGTGCCTGTCCCCATGGGCATACCTTTTCTGTTGTTATTCCGTTCATTCTGACTAGCTGCTGTCAGCCCAAGGGTCCTACCACCGTTTCCTTGTACTCTCTCAACCTTAAGAAGACTGGCAGGCTGCAACTGATACATAATGTGGTGGGTTAGCCCTATGGCTACAAGTTGGGTCCTTCTCTCTTTCCTTTCTATTATTTTCTGCTGTTGTAGAAATGTTTACTTGAAATGCAAATTTCAGTATTTTGGTATTTTAAACATCTCAACCTATTTCCACAAGCTTGCTCACGTCGCTGAGTGTTATATTTATTCTGGGATCTAGTGTTTAGTTCAAATCTCCCTTTGCTTAATGTGCTTTTGTGT